TGGTATACCTCTTCCTCCGTTCTGGCAAGTCCAGATCGCCTACTCGAAATTGCAATTTCAGCTTTTTCGCATAGTCCATGGGGCCGTCCAAGTACTTCTTCATCCCTATCCCTTCTTTCAACTTCCCGTATATCTCCAAGTGGTCTTCGCTTCGTACCTTCTTCCGAAGGGTTGCCTCCTCCCTACTCTCTAGCATCTCCTTGACTTTCGTCTTGAACCCCCCGAACCCTTCCGTGTCCAACGTCTCCTCTTCGTCTCCTATCTCCTTCCAAACCTTCTCTACCACCTTGTCCCATCTGATTCCCTTCTTCCCTGGAGTCGCTTTTCCCCAAGCTGCCTCGTCAACCATGGCTGGTAGTCTATCGTCCGACATTCTACTTACCTTGTACTGCCAATTCAACTTCTGCATGTCTCTCTTTGTTTTAAGAGAGTACATTCCCAATTCTGCTCTCAATACAGTGTTGCTCGTTGTACTTGAACATCCTAGTATTTTCTTGGCCGCTGCCATCTGCACCGTTTCCAGCTGCTTGACGGCCTTTTCGTTACCTTCCCATATCTCTCCTGCATACTCTAGCTTAGGTACAATCACATTCAAGAGAATACACCTCTTAATCCTAGTGTCTAGGTGTGGGTCCGTAAGGATCTCGTCCATCTTGCCTATCTGAGCTTTACTCCTCCCAATCAACTTCGCTATGTGTGCGTCCCATGAGCACTCCTTCGAAATCTCTACTCCCAGGTACGTATACTTGTCTACTACCGGTAGTTCTTCCTCCCCCCATTTCCATTTGAATTCTACGGGATTTTTCTTATCTTCGTTACAGACCACTACTGCGCATTTTCCTACGTTCGCCGACAGTCTCCATTTTCGGGTGTATCCTACCGCCGCATCTATTTGTTCTTGCAACCCTTCTGGTGTTTCGGATACCCCCACGAAATCATCTGCAAACATCAGTCCGGACACACTCTTTCCCTCTACTTGGACTCCCTGTCTTACTGCTTCAACCGCCCTTATCAAATCGTTGATGTAAATCTTAAATAGAGTGGGTGACATCGTACAGCCCTGTGCGACTCCTACGGTAGGGGGGGGGGGAGGTGAACAAAAAAAGGCTCACCCGCTCGCATCAGCACGGCGATAACACCTTCCTGCCCGTGGTACGCCGCCAAGTGCAGCGCGGTGTTGGCCTCCGCGCCCATGGTGTCCACGGGCACGCCGGCGTTCAGCAGCGCGGCCACGCTCTCCGACATGCCGCTCATGGCCGCGAGGTGGATCGGCCGCAGGCCGCGGCGGTCGGTCGCGTTCAGGTCTGCCTGTCAGCGGGACGAGAAGAGACGTGACGGCAGCAGCAGCAGCAGCAGCAAGAGACAAAACCGGCAGTTGCTCGAGGGGTGCACGGGACAGCTGAATCCTATTGTCATGTGGGTGCCCGTATGAGGGGCGGAGAAATGGCACCCCCCCTTCGCTGACCGAGAGCCTGGTCCTGGTGAAAGCGCGGCGTGCTGCGTCCCGGCTTTGTAGGGATGCGAGTTCAATGGTCTAACGACTACGGCATGCACGGCCATAAGTAAGACCCCTTGATTGACCGATTTTCCAAGCTCGATTGCTCCACCCCGAAGCGCTTGTACGGACTTTGAGTTATATACAAAGCTAACGCAACCCCGAAACCTAACGTAACCCCGAACACCTGATAGCAAAAACATGGGGGAAAGCGTGCCATACTCAAACCCTACGAAATGGCAATGGCCAACGACTGTGGCATGCGTTTACATGAGAACTCCCCCCCCCCCGACCACATTTTTCACGAGGGCTTGCTGCAATTTTGGCATCTCCGGGTGTTTCTCGTGCCTCTTCGGCATATGTCAAGGTTTCGGCTGTCTGCGCTGTTTGATGAGCGGATCGAAAAGAGGAGGCAGTCTACTCTGCTCGCTCGCGCACGGCACAAACGCCCCAAAAGCGTCTTCCCTCGCCTCTTTCAAGTCGATAGATATGTATGTAAGTGCCACTGCATCTGATGCCGATTGGGTAGACTGCAGCAGTACAACAAAGAAGCATCGACTAAATATTTGCCTTGGTCCGCAATCACAACAATACCAAATTTCCGATATATTGTACCAGTTAGTTGTGTAGCCCGATCAGGTATGCAAACGTCTAAATAAAGGTAAGATTTGCGAGAGGGATAAGGGCAGTAAGAAACCGCGTCGTACACAGCAGTGCGCATCCAGTGGCGACAGCAACAAGTACCTGGTACGGCAATACAGAGACTACTACAGTATATAGTCATCGACAATGATATAGCAGTATTAATAGTCGTATGTAGTGGTGTACGGCTAGGCTCGGCGGAGCAGCGGACAGATCTCCTTGCTTGCTTGTTTCCCCGCGCGATGTGTCTTTTGTTTGTTGTTGGTCAGAGCTGACCGCCATCTGTTCTCGACGTGCACACGCACTCATCAAAACATATCCCTATCGCCGCAGCATGCATACCCCACACATACCTCCGCCACCCTTTGCCCCGAGGTGCTGCCGCCGCCCCGCCGGGCATAGCTCTCTCTCGAAACCCTCTTGATAATTCTTGTTGCACGCTTGGAGTCTCGAGCTCTCAGGGCGTCGAACAGAGCCTCTTGGCCTACCTCGAGCTTCGGGGCCAGCACGTTTGATAGAAAGCTATCCATGGTGGGCGCTGCTACGCCTCTGGTACGTGCTCTCTCTTCTCTCTAGAGCAGTAGATGTGCTTGCCTCTGCGGCTCCTTCCTCCTATGCATATGGGGCGGGGATGTTTATGCAAAGATGAAAATAGGCGTTTCGAACTTGCTCTTGCCCGGGACTGTAGGGAAAACTTGAGGGCTCACAAGCTTCTTTGTCCCCTCGCTGTGAGAGCCCGTTTGCCGCCTTGTTTCAATTCATCGCCCCCCCAGTCTTGCTCTGCCCGACCGGAGACTGCTGAGGAGCTGCCGCAGACGGACCACTCAGAGGAGGAGGGCAGAGAGAACAACAACCCGAACAAAGAAATGGGTCGGCGGTTCGGGGAGCACGTCTGCACGAAGCAGCCATCCTACGGGGGCGTGGATGGGCCCTCTACTACTGCAACCTCCACCGCAAGGAGGGTATGACCCTCATCAACCGGAAGACGTGCCAGCACAACGGCTGCCCCAAGAAGCCAACGTTCGGCGTCGACGGTTCCAAGAACGCTCAGTTCTTCGCCCAGCACGCGCAGACCTCGATGGTGGACGTCCGGAACAAGAGGGTGCGCCCACCGGGGGTGCAACTCATCGCGCTCGTACGGCAAGCCGGGCACGTCGACGCGCGAGTTTTGCAAGTCTCACGCCAAGGAGGGCATGACGCGACTCGTGCTGGCTAAGAGGTGCGCTGCGGAGGGGTGCAACACGCACCCCACCTACGGGAAGCCAGGGACGAAAACTCCGGATTTTTTTGCCAAGCACGCAGCCTCGGAGATGGTCAACGTCATCGGCAAGAGGTGTCTCCACGCAGGTTGCACCAAGACTGCGGCGTACGGAGCCGCGGGCCTCCGCAAGCGCGAGTTCTGTCGCTCGCACGCCCCTGAGGGCTACGTGAGCATCAACCTCAAGTCGTGCCGTCACGGAGGCTGCACCAGCTGCGCGGCCTTCGGCGAGTGGGGTAGCTCAATCCCCGAGTTTTGCAGGTTGCACGCGCCGGAGGAGATGACGAGGACAGCCCTAAAGGGGTGGGGCGACCGGCGGGCGTGGGAGGAGCTGGAGGATGTGGATGGTCATGGCGCCGGTACGTGCAGTCCTGGTGTTGACAAGGGTGGACAGCGTCAGGGAGACGGAGAGATAGAAGCGATCGACCGGATGATTTCAACGGATAGTCTAGATAACTTGTAGGCCATCCTTGTCAAGGGGGAAGCCTCCGAAGAAGGCAGACGAAGTGCCATAGCTACAGATGTAGACTTACCGCAGCTTTCGTGGCTGCAATGTCTCGTTCTTCTTCCATAATTATATTGTTATTTTGTTTGGAGTGAGGCGAGATTCGCGGGTGTTGGCAGCACATACGGATGCCTTGGGTCACAACCTCCGTGCCGTGGACGGTAGCACTTTTCGTGATATGCAAAAGAAGAACGTTATCACCCCCGTAGCGAGCCATCCAAGTTCCGTTCCATTTCGAGAAGCTGTCGAAGCTGTCGTGTGCCCAGCGACACGTTGCTTAAGATTTCGTTGCGTATCCCCTGCGAGTTTGAACGGCAACATCTCCTTGGCTTCTTCGTACGTCGGTCTGCATATCGCAATGTGACTTTAGATTTTTTCCAAGATCTCCGTCTTCCTTGAGTTGACGCCGGTTTGTTGTGCAACAATACTCTAGAGGTATTGTATAAGTATATGATACGTAGAAACGGCTGTAGGCTATATATTTTGCATCAGTGCGGTCAACATCTGTTTTCGTGCTGGTGCAATCGTCAGTACTGGGGCCCACTCCTGGTTGTCGCGACAGTGCTGCCGGCTCCAATGTTCTGATGCTCAGTTTCGCAGGTGTCGGGTGGAGTGCGTTAAGGATGCGTGCTTTCTTTCGCCTGAGTTTAGGGAGGCGCGCTGCTTTGCAGATGCAGTACCCCCCGGGGTACCACAAAATCGTTTCCATTCATTCTTCTCCGCCAACACCCGCACGGAACGCTGCTGACTGGTGGGAGGCCGTTTGGTGATGTGCAACGGTTCGGCAGGAAAACCAACGCGTGTACGAGAGCGTTTCTCTTGAACAACAACGTTTTTGTCAAGGAGACAACGCTCGCGACCTCTGTGTTCCAGGAATGGGTATTAGCGTTAAGCGGGCGAGACTAGCTCACCGATGCGTGGACAAAACCCGGGCCAGAGTCATCCCTCTTGGACCAATGCGTGTCGTAAAGAGTTTCCATTCAGGGTACGCACGATGTATACCTCATGGTCGTTCGTTGTTCGACGTTTTTGCCAAGCTCCCCCGTACCTGCAAGCACGGACGTTCGGTTTCGGGGTACAGTATGCGTAGGGGGTTCGCAAGCCGGGGGGGGAGCGCTTGGTGCTTGTTTGTTCGAGACGCGCACAATCTCAAGTCTTACCCCCAACACCCAAGCAAGGTGACGTGACCTCTGGGTTCTGCCCTTGCTTCGGGTCAAGCACGACCGACCGTGCACACATGTCGAACATTAGGCATTTGGCTGTCCCACTCGACGAGTTGAGCAAGCAACACTTTCACTCAGGTCCCTCCCTCGCGCGTTGAGTTTTTTTCTTCCAAAGGGCCCATGTGTTCCTGCGTTTTCATGCCCCGAGCTGCTTGATAGCTTGTGCTCCACAGCCTGTTCGTGCAGAATTCCCACGTGGTAAAAAGAGTTTATTCTCCGAACAGTAGGTATCCTGATCGAAGAGTAGGGAACCGCGGATCATCCCGCCGTCAAAAATCTGTTCGTTCCGTGGACTAGAAGCAAGCGCAGACGCATGGCGGTGTGTATCGATGATGCAGCCCCAACATGGGTAATACGCGGGATCTTGCAGGGAGAGAGTCAACCAAGGAAAGAAAGACCAAATCTCGGAAAACACAACTTGTCGCGAGAGACGCACAAAAGCGAGTTTCGCTGCGATGCAGCACGGGGTCGCTCCCAAAGGACGAGCTTGAGAGACGTCACAGAAGAAGATCCATCTCGGGGAACAGGCGGGCCAAGAATAACTTCGACTAATATCATACGAGGGGGCACTAAATAGACATGCGTGGTCGAAACAGCCAGAATCAAGGCACCACACCCTAAACGTAATTGTACAACAAGCTTGAGAGGAATAAACGTAGAGCGCCACCGCCGTTTCACATCTACTTCGGTTATAGCGACAGAGGCCAAAACTTACATTCTCTCCAGAGGTCGCCTATAACATTCGCCGTTGGTGCGCTTGGCACCTCCAACGGGTGGACTATTTAGTACCACCATAATGGTGGGCCCGTTTCACCAACCCCCCGCTTAGCGACACGCCCTGTATAGCGACCATATAATAGCGTGGCACCCTTGCACCCCGACTTAATAGCGACCTGCCCTGATTAGTGACCACATTCCCTCCTGACATTAGGGGTCGTCGCTAAACCGGGCCTCTTCCGTACTGATAAACCGGCGAGAGGGATTGCCTGGAGGCGGTGCCGTTGAGAACGCGCCGGCGTACGGGCAGCTACGAAGAAATCTGAATCAAAATGAACGGTAAGACGATCGTGGGAGTTCTGCACACCTTGCTTGCGGCATGGTGCTGGGCAACAAAATAGCAAAGGACAGACGTGCAAATGTATTATCTATCCAGGTCGTAACCAAACAAGAAAAAATATATATGTATCTACATGTGTCCGACGCTGGCACGGCAGCCACGCAGACCACGCGCGCCCACCTACAGGAAAACAACGTGTCCCTGTGGGAACATCCGCACAAGTCTTGTCGCTAAGTCTTTTCTTTCACAAGAAAGATGGAAGACATGCTGCTGCTGTACCATTGTGGGCCCGGTTCGGCGACATGCCCCGAATAGCGACCACGAAATCGCATGGCAGCCCGACTAAGAGAGAGTGCTAGCCGCTACGCCGACAACTGCGACGTGCTCTGAATAGCGACCATCACTCTCCCTCCTGACACTTGGTATCGCTACACCGGGGCCAGCACTGTTGTACCCCCTTGTAGAGGGACCCGTAATCTGCCAACAGCAGAACGCTAAGGTCCCCGTGCCTTGCGTGAGGCCTGAGAAAGAAAAGTCAAGTCAACAATAAAAATAAGCCGCATATACCCTAGTAGTCCCACGTTTTGCGTTTTTTCACCTACACCTCTGCGATTCGATAAACCTGCGCTACGGAGTGAATCCCGAGCGTTTTCATGAGTAATTTACACGCACTAGACGAACACGCGTGCAACGGTTTCTTCTTCATCATGACATCGATTCACTTCCAGGGAAATTCCTACAAATATTCTACCTTCTGCACTGGAAACGTTAATAAGCTCATCGTACATACACAAACCTTACGATAATACTGATGTACCCCCCAAACACGTCCCCAGGGCGAAATCCACTTGGCGCTTAACACAAAACCTACATTGCCATGCCATGACACAATCCAACCGACCGCCTAGCAAGCCAACTCGTAGCGTTTGACTCAGTACGAAAAATCGGCCACCCTGGACAAAACTATAAAAATATTTTCTTACCTCCCTTGGACTAGACTAGAAGAGAAAGAGCCAACTAGATCACAGTTGGATAGCATATAGTAGTCTCAAAATGCCGAGCCAACAACGCGTTAACACGAGGACTGAACGCTGTGGCGCAATGCTTGCTCCCTCGGCGTAAGTTGAGAGAAGAAACGCGGGAAAGCTTCTCGCATCTCAAGAGGAGAGGGATACAAATACAAGACTGACAATGAACAATTAACAACCAATCGTGCTCTAAAAAACTCCAATCCGCTACAGCAGTACAACGTCGTTGTGTGCGCGCTAATTGGCTGACGAACGGCATTCGAAAAACAAATATCGAAACTGTGAGCCCGCACTACTTCATACATCTCGCGAACAACACAACTTAACAATACAAAGTAAGGTAATAACCACTGTACTTCATCGCTGATTCCTCTATCCTGCAAAATTTCCGAGACACAACAGGAGACACAACAGGGGAAACTACATGTATCCTGTTTTTCTTACGCATACAAAGCATACAAGACATCTGGACATACCCCCCCCCCCACACACGCCAGATCCGCCGGCGTCGCGACTTCAGACAACAATGTCGCGCACGCTCTATGGGCAGGCACACGGATGCACACGGCCCGGATGCCAACAAGGCCGACGACGCGCAAAGCTGTGAACTGGTTTCCTACCCAAATAAATCTTCAAACATGTCCATGCCATCATCACAAGAACGAAAAAAAAAAAAGCTCCCTCTCGGCCGAGAAAGAACACGTTGGCCAGCGAGCGAGCCGGCCAGCCACACAAATGCGGCGAAATTCTCACTACTACTCCCTCACGCGCGCTTCAGTAAGGCGTAGGCCAACAGCAGCCCCGCGCCCCCGATGGCGACCAGCAACCCCATGTCCAAGGAGAACCGCCCGTTCTCAAACCCGAAGCAGCTGAGGATGTTGTCGCCGGAAAGAGGGCCTACAGACGCCGTCACTCCGCTGATGACGGTCGTCAGCGTGAACAGTGCGCCGTACTCGCTGGGGGGGGAGGGGGAGGAGGAGGAGGAGCAGGAGGAGGAGGAAGGCAATGCGGCGCAGGGCAAAGCAGCGTTCGTGGGTGGTGGGTGGAGAGAAAATGTAAGACTTCGGTGAACGCAAGTCAACCCAATCCCAGACCCACCCAAGATAAAACAAAACAAAAAAATCACATTGTCCACGCCGGTGGAGACTAGATTTAGCTTAACCGTCGTGAAAGCGAAAGTAAAGCTCGGCTTGACGTTGGCCACGATAAGTGCTTTGTTCTCTACGAACACACACACACACATGTGCAGGCAACAGCACACTTAACACACGTTTGCGCGGTCCTTCGGGTGCAGTCGAGACAACGCACGCACGGGTGCTTGCAAGCAGGAGCAGCAGCAGCACGGTTGAACGGCAAAAAGAAAACAAGCCACCACAGGGCGCACGAACCCACAGCCGCCACACGGTCCCAGTTACATCGGGACAGTTGCAAATCCAAGCGTCTTTGCAACCTCTTACGGTGCGCCCAAGGGCAGCAGGTGCCATACGTCCCCAAACGGCCGCAATCCGACCAGGCCAAGCAACCCAGCAAAGTGAGACAAACGGAGATATCGATTGTCGTATGCTGCTCAGGGAATCGTAGAAACACAGGCGTCGTGGTCATCATACAACGATTTTTAAATTAATGAATCTAATACATTCCCGGCCGGGACTCTGGAATCTGTGGACAGAGTTGTGTTGATTAATTTCGTTTTTTTTTGTGTCCTCGTGAGAAAACAAAGCGAAAAGGCCAACATCAAACAAAGAGCTAAAAACGAAGATAATAACAAGAATACCGAACCTCTGCGACTACGGCATGCATGCTCCGTCTCGAAAGGGACGCGTGGTCAATGGTCAAATGACTACGGCAAGCAACAAATGAGTACGCCCCCCCCCCCCCCCCCCCCGGAACATTCCTACCTAAACTCGTTGATTCAACAATGCCTCGAACCCGTGGGCGATGGGCGAGGCCCACAGCAGCCCCCCCCAGACCCCGGGCAGATCATCCCTCGCCACCAGGAACCCCGACAGCAGCGCCGAGAACAGCACGAACAGGCACCCCATCGCCAGGGCCTCCTGCGGCGACCTCGCTCCCGCTCCGCACGCCGCCAGCACCGCCGCCACCGCGACGTTGAACACGACCAGCCCGACGCAGAGGTCCGGCAGGCTGCCGTAGCGCAGGCCGGCGAGGGGGCGCACGGTCGCCGCCAGGAGGACCGGGGGAAGAACGCGGCAGACGAGGGCGTCGGCGAGGAAGGAGGTGGCGAGGTGGGCCGCGGCGCCGTAGGCACCAGACTCGCGCTCGTGTCGGAAGAGCGACATCTGTCGGACCCAGGAGGCCAGGGAGGTGAGGCAGAGGAAGGAGAGGAGGAGGAGGAGGAAGAAGATCACTCCCAGGCGGCCCTGTGGTCGCACGTGAGGAAGGTTTTAGGTTAGGAGGAGAGAGACAGGAGGGGGAGGGGGGAAGGGCGGGGGAAAGGGGGAGAGAGATAGATTGATCGACAACGAATTAGTCTACTGCTGACAACGACGAACTCGCGTATTCTTCTTGTTGAATGGACATACATATTCATCCACGATATACGAGAGAGGAGAGATCGGTAGCTTTAGGAAGAGAGACACGAGGAGAGGGGGGACGGAGCACGGAGGGGGGGTGGAGAGATAGATTGGGCGACAACGAATTGGTCCACCCGCAAGCGAAAGTCTAATCGACAGCAAACACTCGTCGGGACAGGACACACACTTGCCAACGCAACCAAAACATCTCCCTTACAGTACAAGTGATCCCTCCGGAGTGGGCCCATAAGAGCACAGCAGTGACATCAAGGGGTGATTATGCAAAGATGAAAATGAAAACAGGCAGCAGGACCAACCCACCGCTGGCTGCCAGCTGTGATGACGGTTTTCCCAAGCTCACAACACAAGCTGGCGTGTGTTTTTTTTTGGTGAACTTGAAGAGTCCAGCGCACCGCAGAAAAAGAAAAATCTTGCAAATCAATACCCAGCACTCCTTGCACATAGCACCAAAGACGACCAGAAGTCTTCGGAGCGAATCGTCACCCACCTGTATCCCCGCGGTCTGGTCGTTGTCACGCCTCAAGTCGCCGAACAGCGAACCCACGAGCAGTCCGACCAAGGGCGTCAGCACCAAGTGCAGCGTCGCCAGGTAGGGGTCGCGGGCGACGTCGCGAACGGCGCGGCCCATTAGCGCTCGCAGCTGGGTGGTGACCGGCGGGGCCCAAGCGAGAAGCTTCTGTCCTAACGATGGCGGGGCCGCGGACTCGGCGCATCGGACCTGTGTTTCGTTTTGTGTGTGCGGGACAGCGGAGGTGGACGGTTAGAGGGGGGGGGGGGGTAGGCACGAACGGCGGTTGCTGGTCTACTCCATTAAGAGAAGAGAATGCCCGGGACAGGAAATACAAAACAAACGGTGGAGTTATCAAAGGGTCGATCTGATCTCATCTCAACAAGAGAGGTCGAAGGACCAAAGTAGACATGGCCTCAAGAGGATGGGTCGAGCGACCAAAGACTAGAGAACATGGCAAGAAGGCCGAGCGATCAAAGGGTGGAGGGTGGAGGGTGGAGGGTGGAGGGTGGAAAATCTCAAGAGAAGATGTCGAGCGATCAAAGGTATGCATCTATCTATGCTCGAATGCATATCGTCCACGATGAAACCAAAATTGGAGCACACAAAGAGCAAAAGGGAAGCGCAAAACAGGACGGAAGCTAGCCGCTCCCCACCTTCGCCACCAGCTCCTCGCGAGGCATAACCACCAGCAGTCCCCCTGCTCCGCCTTTCCCACTGTCCTCCGCTATTTCCGCGTCACCAACGACGTCCAGCATAGCGTCCGCCAGACCCACCGCTCCGTCCCTTGCCCCAACCTCGCCCCCCCCCCCCCAAAGAGGGCGCCCCAGGGATGCGAAGTAAGCCTGCGTCGATGCCGGCGGCCCGAAGAAGGAGATGGAGCCTCGGGAGACGAGGAGGACGCGGTCGAGGGAGTCGTAGACCTGGGGTCGGGGCTGGTGAAGGCTGCAGAGCACGGTCATGCCCCGGGAGGAGGTCAGGTCGGAGAGGAGCTGCATCGTCGTCAGCGCCGTGGAGGCATCTGGGTGTGTTCGCGGTGTGTGTGTATTTTCAAGTACAGAAGTTTTTTTGTAAGCAGTAGACGAGGGCGGGGTGGGGGGAGTGCGGGTGAGAGAAGGGTGGGAGGGAGTTAGAAAGGAGAAGAGAGAACCGTGGGCGGGAGGGCGAGGGGCGGAGAATACTTGCCGCGTCGCCGGAGGTGTTTGCCCGTTCAGTGATAACTGGGGTGCGACGTGATCATTTTCGTTTCTGCAATTAGTAGACGGGAGTAGGTTCAAACAAGAAAGGGCCGTGGCCGCCAGGGTGGGGGACGGATGATTACAATGTCGACGTTTTTTGCAGACACAGCAGTTGCAACCGGGTTCGGTGTGTGGCCTGGCACTCGTTATTTCGTCGCATTTCCCACGACCTCCGACCCAAGACACGGCAAGACAATTCCATGTCTTACGGTTCCTCACCTAGTCCCGTCGTGGGCTCGTCGAGGAACAGAAGGCCCGGGCAGGTCAGGAGCTCCGTGGCTATCGAGAGGCGCCGCTTTTCTCCCCCAGAGATACCCCGCGACAGTCCGCCTCCGATGCGAGAGTCACGAACGTCCTCTAGCCGTAACTCTCGGAGCACCTGCTCTCCCCCCCCACCCCCCCCGGGAACCAAAAAGGCGGACGAGATGGGGATGGAAACCCACGGACGAACGAAAACAAAACGGGTAAAGGAAAGGAGGGAGGGTTGAGAGCGTGGCGACGAAGCGGTGTCTTATTAATAGCGCAAAGGAGGGGTGTCTGGCACAGCCGGGCATGCTTCACGGCACACGGAATGCGCCACACAAGACGTGATCATGGAACGATGGATAGAGTTGGCACACTGGTAGATAAGATAATTTGTCGAGCATGTCCTTCAAATCTCAACAATAATTATCGTACCGTTCCCAAACCTCCTAAAAAACAGATTGTAGAAGCAAAAGCAACTGCTTGTCTCAAACACACCATCGCACTGCATGTGTGTACCCGCCCCATGTGCACATTCTCGGCCTTCCCTACAACCCTTGGCGTCCTGGCACCCTCACAGCATCTACATATCCATGCATACCCCTGCTTGCAAAACTGTGGGGTACCACACCTGCAGCACTCGATGCTTTCTATCCTCCTGCGAGGCCCGATGACGTCGCCGCCCACCCCCACCCCCGCACCCGCAGGCCCCCGTCACCCCCTCCGGCGTCGACATTCTCAGCTCGGCGTGGAACATGAGGTGCTCGAAGCAGGTCAGTGTCTCGGGAAGCACGTCCTCCTGGGTAACGTAGCCGGAGACGCCGCGGACCTCCGCGGCCGTCACCGCCCTGCCGTTGATCCGGACGGCTCCGGTGACACGGCCGCCGTTGTTCTTTTTCCCGAGGCGATGCATCCGTCCGGCCAAAACGTTCAAGAGGGTCGTCTTCCCCGCGCCGGAGGGGCCCATGATGGCGGTAACGCTGCCGGACCATGCCGGAGCGGCGGCGGAGGGAGAAGCGTTCCCGTTACTAGCTGCGGTGCCGGGACCAGCGAACCCCGAGACGCCGTTCAAGATGGCGGCGGCAGCGGGGGCCCCGCCCTTACCGCCTCCGGGTAGGGGCACACCGATGTCTTCCCACGACAGCAAGATCGGCTGGACGATGTCGCCGCCGTTGTTACGACCTCCGCCCCCCGCGGATAGCGATGCCGCACCGCTGCCGCCGTCGCCGCCACCGCTAGGAGGAATGCCGTGATTCTCTGCCGCGTCCTGCGACGAGACAGCGGCCGACCCCGCCGCCACACCGTTCCCGTTCGGTCCGGTGGACTTTGCGCCAGCGGCTGCTGCCGTCGCTGTTACGGGGGCGTGCAGGAGGTTGGAGGAGGAGTTGCTGGTGGTGGTAGCGTCGCCGAGGGAGGGGTTTCCTCCGAAGGTGGCCGAGAGCGGGCGGAAGGAGCTCCGCCGCCTGCCGCCGTCCGACTTGCGCAGGCGCAGGGGGCTCGTCCTGCGTAGTGCCGGGTACGGAAAGGAAGAAACGATTGGATAAGAGAGGAAGGTGCGGTCGATGAATACATAGCAGTTCAGAGCTGCAAGCAGCACACACAAGGGATCGGACAGAAGCTTCTTGGATCGGAAACGATCGTTTCATGTAGGGGACGAATGTGCGGTCGATGAACGTACACCGTGGAATGGAATGAGCTGCTCGCATCCGAAAAACGATTCAAGCATAAAACAGGACGCCACGAAAACCCCGGCACAAACCCGAAACCATGATCCACAACAGCACCGCGTGCTAAGAACATGATGTGCAAGAACCAGCCCAACAAAACTCAGAATGAAGATCGTACAAGGGACCACAGGATCAACAAACAACATCCAACTTTTCCAATTTCCAATCTGCGCCCGACGTCCCCCGGAAACAGCGGCGGTCAGGTTAACAAAAATCGGCAAGAAACGAAAAAAAAAAAAAAACACTCGCCTTGTGAAGACGTAGAAAAGCAAGAAGCTCAACACCCCAAAGGCCAGCGCTATCACCGAGAGCGTCGCCACGCCCTCGCGCATGTTGGAGAGGGACGGGTCGAAGTTGAAGGTTTCGAGGATGGTCGATCCCAGGGGCGTGATATCGGGCAGCTCTGGGGAGCATCTCTGGGGGGGGCGACGGTACATGCCGGCAACGGGGGGGGGGGGGGGTAGCCTTCGGAACCTTTCCCCGGGATCTTAACCAAAATGGGAGCGAGGGGGGGGGGGCCTGGGTATCACATGAATAACCCGGGAAAAGGGGGGACAAGGGGGGGGCCATCAAAAGAGGGGCCCCAATATTTCACACAAAAAAAAAAAACCCCACAAAATCTCGGGGATAAAAAAAAAAAAAAAAAGGGGGGAAACTCCCACACCCCCCGAACAAAAAAACGGGGGGGGAGGGCCCCCCAAAGGGGGGCGCAGGGCGCTGAAAAAAAAAACCGGGGGCCGCT